AATCACCATCACAGGGTTGTTTTTTGTGGGGAAAATAGGAGGCAGGAGAATTAAATACATTGCTTTAACTTGTTAAATAATGGTGGGATATAAATCTAATAATAAATAGTACAATCAGAAAATAATCTTTTCTGATCATTTTTTCTTTGTTTTCTGATAAAAAATTGGCTCCATCTTTGATAAGCAGATTTTGCTTTCAGTGAATTTAACCCAATGATTTCTCATACGTATTTCTTGTTAAAATATATTCTCTTTTATTTAAAAAAGTGATCTCTTACAGTTGTTGACAGATTTTCATTATAGTCTTGGTAATAATTTTTTCTTGAAATATTTTGATACAAATATAATTTGTAACACTGTTTAGTGTTAATCATCAGATGCATTTCCTGATTCTAATGGAAACATAAGTTCTGCGTAAAGTTTTTAATGACAACTTTCATTTAAAACTACTCTTTTAATAGCATACTTCATTTAAATTTGAAAAGTGAAGGAAGGTTGATAAACTCATCAACAGAAGTAGACAGAAGGCTTAGCAAGTGACTCAATTTTTAGTCTACTTTCATTATAAACAATTTCAGTTCTTTTGAATTGAACTGACACAGTGGTAGTTTTCAGTGTATTTTTTAGATTTCCCACCCCCCCATGATACTCTAGTTGATGGGGGGCAGTTTTATATAGTGCTTAGAGTACAAGGCCATGAATTGGAAGACTGTTGAGGTCTAGCCCCACCTTAGGCAAGAAGCCAACTGGGTGATCTTGGGCCAGTCACTCAGTCTGAGGCCAAAGAAGGAAGCAGTGGCAAACCACTTATAAAAATGTAAAGAAAACTGCAGGACTAATCCATGAATCACCAGGAATCTATTTCAAACACACAGACACACACTAACTTAAAATTAATATAAATTATAGATGAAGAATAATTTAGAATGAAAACTCTTAAATTTTCACCCTTATGGTTCTGATACCATGAGGGGCGAATATACTGATTTATGGCTCTTCACTTGGATATTTTGGGTGAGAATTGAAAAAGCATAATAAACATTTGACTGTGCTTTCCAAAGAGTAGCTACAGTATATAGTGTGCAGTTACACATTAAATAGTTATGCTTCCTATTTAGTAAAAAGAAGAAACTATTCCAAATTCGAAACAGAAATTATGTAAAATTTAGAATTCAGTTTTATGTTTACATACCATCTTGCAAGATTCTATTTCATCAGTCAAACTCTGATACAAAATAGTAACAGAAGATGTGTTATGCTATTAATCTGCTTTTTTATTCATAAAATAATGATGCTTCCCTAAAATATCCACTTACTTTCACCTTATCCTACTTGGTGCTTTGCATGTGGGAAAGAGTTGTCTATTTTATCCACCAAAATGCTGATATGATAAATGAAAGCCTTTTTTTTCCCTAGAGAAAGTTTACTTATTTTTCTTGAAAATATAGCTTCCTCTTATGATGAGAAATTGTGTATCTCTATTTCTTTATTCTTGTTATTTTGTTTTGCTGAATTTGAAGAAGCAAAATGTGATATATTTGCTCTGGGCCTGCTAAAGGAGTTCATATGAAAAATATAGCATAGTTTTATGCAAGCTTAGTAATATTTTATTGCATGGTATTTTCTTTTTTTTTAATATACTTTTAGGTGCAGATTATTTACAATGATCAGTAGCCCGATTTGAACATGCAAGTATGCTTTGCTTACCTTTAGCTTAACATTATCTTCAAGCAGAGTTTAAAAATACTAGCACTGGGATTTAACTTTGTGTATGAACTCACCAGGTAATGAGTATTCAAATTGTTTGGTTTAGTTTTTTGTACTACAGTCCCACTGATACATTCTCCATAATGAAAAGCTGTTCAGGGGTATTAATAAAAAATGCCAATAGTCTTATATTAAAATTTAGCCTCTACTATAATTTATTTTATCAATAGTAGATATGTTCTGTACTGTGAAACTATGTTTACACTTGTAATGCCCATCCATGCTGACAATGGTAGTAATAGTGGAAGGCTCTTACAGCTGTCTTTTTCTCATTCAATTTTGAAGAAAAAATTTCACGTTTCCTATGTTATGTTAATCTTTTTCCTCCCTAGCAGTGTGAATTGCAAAAACAGACATTTTTCATCAAGATGAAACTAAGAAAAGCTGAAATTTTAAATAGCTGGATTAATTTTCATATGTGATTTATTGTTAAATTCTATTTTACTTTTCCTGAAATGTTTACATATTATTAAATATGCTTCGGGTTCTGCATTCTGAATACGTTTTCTCCTTTTCACTACCATTACTTGGATTCTTCTGTATCATATATCTTTGGCAATTTCTTTTATTTTTAAAATATGTTAACTGTTTCTAGATGAAGTGTTATAGGTATTAGAACACTGAACAGTATTTTTGAATATATGAACATCATTTAACTACATTTTAAGGTGACCGTTAATATAATGACACAATAATACATTAGCAAACATCATTATTATGTAAACATTATGTAAAGTTGCAAAATGTTAAAATGTATATCAAAGAATAATTTTTTAAAAAATGGAGTAAGTGGAGTCCAGAAAAATCTTTATAATTGGGGACAATATGTAATTACAACTGTAACTGTTGCATTATTAGACTGAAAAACAAGGGGAATTTATGATTTTTGTATTGAAATAATGAACTTGAATTTATGGACATCTAAGGCTCTACTAGTGATAAGTGAATTAATCTGTCTCTCATTATTGGCTGTTTTAGCTGAATTGCTATATTCTATGTCTTGATTAAATACTGCATTAAGGGTTAGTTACAGTACAGTACTTTAGTCATCATTGCTCTTGGAAGTTGTGTAAGGACCATCTGAGACCAATATTTCTAATTAAAAATGTGTTTGCTGTTAACTGAAGATAGTCAGGTGTGTTTAAAATGTTGATCGTGCCTTTGGGTAAGGTGACGTGGATTGTAATTTGTTCATTCCACCTTATGAGAAACTTGGAAAGGTGGTGAGTGTATCAGATTAGTGATGTATTTTTGTGTGAACAAACCCTTAAGGGAAAAACAGGATTTTATTTTGAGTTCCTTAACTGATAACTTTCAGTAGTTTAATATTATACTTCAAATTTAAGAGATAACCACTAAAATACCAGCCACATTATTAATGTTGTTTTGTTTCATTGTTTTAAAGTTGCTTTTGTTTAAATGGTGCCTTTGATAAAATGGGAGTATACATTATATGGGATTTCTGAAATGAATAGGGCTATTTTAGTACTTTTCATTGGATATTTTATTTTATGCACAGATTATGTGTGTTTTAATAATTTGGAAAAATAACCTGAGTCTTGGGTAAATTGTTTTCACTGAAATTATCTATTAAAAGATATTGTCCTTTTCCCTTCAGGCAATAAGCAACCTTTTGAAGATTGATTTAGAGATTTAGTTTTTGACCTCTTACTAAGTTGCAGTGATTCAGTCTCCTAAAAATTTCTGCAGCTTAATGCTTATAACTAAGCCACAAAAAGCTTTGCCACTTTGGCTGTTAAGCTTTAAGTTCAAGATTGGTAAATTATAGTCTCGTGTGCACATGAGTTACAATTTTCCTGCTTCGAGGGAGCTCTGAGCAACAAAGAATATTATTTGTAATTTGAAGAGAACCTTCTCATGAAAGTAGAGACAAACTTAAACACTTCTGACCCTTTTGGAGTTCAGACATCCAAAGAAACACATACCAATAAACTTCCTTGCACATGTTGCAGTGAACAGCTGGGCAAGCAAACTCAGAAAATCGGACTTTTCTTTTTATTATGGGAAAAGACGTTGGTGGGAGGATTACATACACATAGTGAAAGTGTTAATTGGATTATAAACAGCTACAAATCTTTTAATGTGACTGTAGCCTGACAGTCTGGTAGGATCCTGAGCATCTGGTCAGGCAGTGGGCAATTTTTTGTCCCCTCTGGCCATCATGTTCACTTCATCATTATTAAGCACTTCATAATGCTTTGAGCATATGTGTGTTTGTACTTGATAAGGAAGAAGGCAAAGCAGTTGAGAAGCATGAGGAAAGAGAGGGTAAATCACAATATTATAAATAAACATAGAGAGTATAGGAGAGAAAATCATATAATTAAAATCAGCAAAATATGTAATGTTTTCCTGTGATATAATTTGGATAAGATGCATTCTTAACTGTTACTGGGAAGATAAATACTTAAGTGTTTTGCCAGTCCAAATGCTTTTAACAAGAAACTCACTAGGCTGTCAGTCTTTAGATTAATATATTTTTTTTAAAAAATGAAGACCTTGCATATTTTAAATTTGATCTATGAAGTGATATATACATCTTGCACATCCCATTTTAGACATTTTAACAGAGATCTTTGGCTCTCTTGTATGTTTCTAGTCTGTTTATCTAATTGACTAATTTAAATATAAATGTACATTCTTGAGCTTCATTTGTAAGACAGTTAAAGCTGCTGAACTGTTATCTTCAACTTACATTTAAACTGTATGTTAAGCTTGCATTGTTTAACACTATGCTTTCACATCAGTTACTATAGTATTACAGCTAACCATAACTGATGCTTTGGATTGCTTTCTGAGTATATTTTAAGCATGGCTCTTGTTTTAATAAAATACCTCTTTAAAATGTAATACGGTTACTCTAGTTTCTGCTTTAATAGTTTATATTAATTATTGAAGTACAATAAGTATTATTTGGTAAATCATAATAATGCTTTAGCTTTACATATGTGGATATTATTTCTTCATTTCCTAGCTATAAATAAACAGTAATAGAGAACTGGAATCTTGACAAACAATTCTAGGCAAACCCAGTTAAAGGAATGTAATGGATTTTAAAAACAGCATATAAAATCAGTTATTTGAATAGTCTAACAAATGGAGCAAAAACCAAACAGATCACCTTACAGGTTTGAAATCACTAGTATGACAAACCAAAGCAGTATTCTTCTTTTTAGAAAAGCTAAATTATCTTATTCAAAAGTCAAACTTACCTAGCAGATGATCGATAATTTGTGGATGCAGTCTCTCCAAATACTGAGACTGGCTCCCCAGGTAGGAAGCTTTTTCTATTAGAAATGCATTCTGCACACTAGCTTTCCAATTTCTTTTTCTCTACTGTCTGTGTGGCTGCCTCATTTGCTGGTGCTGTTTCATCTTGTGGCTGCTTGCTTCCAGTTTACTCCCAGTTATTCCATATCCTTTGGGTTGACTCTGCATGTGATACTTAAATTACTCTTCTCTTAAGATGCTAACAGAACAAGAACTGGACTTTGCATCTTTCAGACAATAGAGGCAGACACATCAATTTTAGTTAACTCAAGTGTTCAGCATTTATCAAATATTAAATGAAAGCTAGAACACCCAGTAAATCGCATCTGCTTTTGCATATAAATTCCAATAGTGAAAACTTGTTTCTGTTTCAAAAAAATCCAGTATATCGAAGAAGTATGTTATCTCAAAAGGTAGGGTCAACAAAAATGGACTTCAGATTCTGCTTTAACTTTTCACCTGCACAGCCTGCATTTGGTAGGAATGTTGAACAGTATGCTCTTCTGTGCTTCTGTCAAACACAGATGTGAAATGCTGCTTACGAACAGAGGAGAAACTCCCCAGGGGTGTAGTATGTGTTGTGTCGTATCTCAAGACAGTGAGTATGCATGGCATCAATGGGTTGCTTTATATGAGCTATTTCAAGTCAGCCACTGAACTGATAGAATATTTTCCAGACATAATCTACTAATTATTTCTTCTGATGGTCAACAGTATCAGTAAACAGAGAATGCAAATAATTGTACAGGCTATTGTATGTCTATTCCTTGTTGAATAGCTTCTCAGCTCAGAAAACCAATTACTAAGAAATTAAACATATTTTTTTATAAGGAGGCATTTTACCCCTAAGTTAAACTCTCTTTTTGTACTTAATATCTCTAAATAGTAATAGCAAAAATCGCTATTATATTTAAAGTTTTTTTTTGAAAAATTACTGAGTTTATTGACTTATTTCACACTGTATATTTCAAATCCAAATCTTGTTTTCTTTAAAAAACGCTCTTAACCATGTCTCTGTAGATGAATGCTCCAGTCTTTCTTTTTTTCTTTTTTAATAATATATGTTTAGGATTGCAATATAATTTCTAGTCTCTTGCCTTTTCCATTTAAAATGTGGCTTTTGAATGCTTCCTGGGTATGATTTTCTTTCATATAATAGGAATCAGAAAAAAATAACAGAACTTAACTAATGTTCCATCTGACTGTCTTCACAGAGGAATTCTAACAACAGAATGCTCCTCTAACAGAAGGGATGTAATTTTTTTTTGCATGCAGTTTCTTGTACCCATGAAAGTTTATTCCAGAGATTTTGGAAAGCCTCAGCCACATCCTTTTTTGTTCCAGCAAAAGGCTAAGTTAGAAATAGCTCTTCCATTTGTGGAACATCAAAGTCACTGATAGCTAATTGCTAACAGAAATAAAAAAAAATGTAATAGGCTTGTGACCACCGTTTTAATATATATCATATTTTTGGTCCCATATCCAATTCCTTGACTGATTCCTCCATTTAATTAATAAAGTTTGTTCTAATTATGCCATCCATATATCTTTTCACTTTACACATGCTCAAAATTAGATAGCTTGGTCCTAAAGTATGCTTTTGCCTCTGTGAAATTGACCTGTGGTTATGAAGACAAATAGTTACATATAATAACCTTCATCTTTCTTACAAAGGCCAGGATCACAGCTACGATGTTTTAAAATGGGAATGGATTTGAAATGCTAAAGAATGTTCAGGTCACATGCTTGCAGAAAATTTCTGATTCAGTATAAAAGCCATACATTTGTATGGGTATGCAGGCCCACATGAAAATGTTGAAAAAATTATGTACCAATGTTAGTTAAGATCTGGACATTTAGCAGTTCAAAACTAATAAAGTTCTGAATAAATGCAAATGAAATGTCCTTTACAGTGTTAAGAGCAGAATTTAAAAAATAATGCTATATAGGTATTAGAAACAATTTTTGGTCCCACCTAAAACAATACCATTTCTGATAAATAAGCTGTCAAAATTATATCTACTACATTTGCCAAACACAACTGAGCAAAATTACTGACAAGAACAATTAATGTAAGCACTTTTCTCCTTCCTTCCTTCCTTCATTTAATTGTAATGGGTCATTTTATATATATACCATAGTCTTAGCTTTCTAGAGGATATACCTTGATACATAGTCTAAGCTGAGAAAAACCTGCCTGTTTTTCTCATCCCTACCTCCGAGGGATGTATGTTTAGCAAATTTAACTTGACCAAAGGGCTAGCGAGTGTATGGCAAACATTTACAATGATTGGATCTTACAGTAAATCTTAACAGATTAATTTGTGAGAGCTATGTTAGTAGAGAGTACTTTTCAAAGAAGAAGCCAAGAGAAGTGCTATATTGTGGCACGCTTGCAGTTGCCATGACTTTGGTGTTGCCTGGTCAAGTATATCTCCCACCTTACCTTCATTTTACATCTGCATCCATTCAAATTCCAGAGAGAGTTCAGAAGAGGGACTTGGAAGAGGAAAAGAAGTCCAAATAAATTTTGTTCTAATTTTATTTTGTTTTTTTGGATAACCTGCTTTGAATAGACTGCTGGTCTTTTTGGTTTCTATCTAAGAATAATGTGGACTGTTTAACCAGCAGTGCGCCCAACATAAGGATTTATGGGATTCTGGTGAGATTGAGAAAAGACTCCCCAAAGTCTTTGAGAGCAGAAAGAAAAGATCAGATGAGTTCTGAAAAGGAAAAGTTCCATGGGCCAGAAATAGAAGGAAGAAAAACAAAAGCTTTTATTTGTCTGGGGATCACAAGCCGATCCAAGGTTGCCTGTCAGATTTCTGAATTGTAAGTGATGGTAAATTGCCAGTTCATTTCATAAGCTTTTTTTCTTAACCTAGAGAGATAAACAGAAGGCCTATTAATTAGTAACATGAAGATGTGCTTATGTATCTGGAATTCACATTGTTAGGCACACATCAGAACGGGTGAAACACAAGCTGCTTTGCTATGCAAAAGAAGAGGCGCAAACTGCCCCCACAAAAGAATATAAACTCACTTTCTAGGAGCGAAGCTGAAAAAGTGAAAGTGCTTGCCACTGAAATTTGGCTGATACCCAAACTCTTTCTTCCAAACTTTGCAAACTGTAGTTTAAAAGGGGGCTGCAAAATCCAAGGAACCTGGGTAGCCCTACCTGCTTCAGTCAGATCCTTGAACCTACATAAAAATGTCCATTCAGGCATACAAACATTTATACCCTTGGAAACATAATTGAATAAAAATTTTATATGTTACTGGATTTTAACAGATTGTGTGTGTGTGTGTGTGTGTATTGCATGATCTAAATGGAAGCAAAAAAGGTGAAGGTGTATACATTTGAAGGAGATCTGCTGTTCAAATAACAGATATTTAGTTCTTTTTCTTTGTATTTTTTTTGCTAATTATATATACATATTATATTTTTTTGAAATTCTTGCTTTGTGAGGACTTAGGGCAGATAAAGTGATTATTTAGTATTTCCGTTTAAATCATTCTATTTTGTGAACTGAATATGTGATTACTGTCTAACTGAATTAAATCTTTCCTAAAGCTGTAATTTTAACATTTGGTTTAATTTTTTGTATGTTCTATTATTTTTGTCTAAGGGAACTAGATAAAATGTCATAAGCTATCAGAAGTTTGGAATTTTGTATGTACCCTGGTCAGCACTTCTTTACTCTCCTACCATTGGGCAGGAGATATAGAAGCATAGCCAGCTGCACCAACAGGCTGAAGAACAGTTTCTACCCATGGGCTGTCAGACTCCTGAATGGGAAATAACTCCATGTATGATAGACTTGCGGGGCCAGCGCGTTGTGCAATAAGTTCACATGGTGTAATAAGATTGTGTGTTTGTTATCACTGTGAGTTGTGTCGGGGGGGTGCATGAAGGGAGGCTTAGCCAACCTCATTGTACACATGTTGTACTTTGACAATAAAGGTTGGTTTGACATATATGACTATATATTATTCATGATGTTGCTGCTACTATTATTCTGTTTCCTAAGAGGAAATGTAAGTTTTCTTCAAATAAGTTAAAATATCTAGTCCAAATTCTTGCTTGATCCAGGTTCTGCTAAAGCATTTTGGACAGATGGCTGTTCGGTCTGTCTCTAAAGACCTCCAGTGAAGAGAATGTACCACTTCACGAGGCAGACTTTTCACTGATTAGCAACCCTTACTATCTGGAAATTGCTCTTAATATATACCCAGAACTTATTTTCCTGCAGTTTCAACCCATTGTTACTCTCGGTAACAAAAGAGGGTAAATATAAAGAACCTTTGGATATTTGAAGGGTATTTTATCTCAATCATTTCTTCTTTATACATACCTCATTCCCGGTTCCTTAACCATTTCTCACAAGACATGAGAAAGACCTTTCCAGTTTTTTCATTATTTTGGTAGCCCTCATCTAAACTCTCTCTAGACTGTTGAAAACATTTTTAGACCATGGAGTTCAGAACTGGAACAATGTTCCAAGTGAGTCCTGGCCAAGGCAGAATAAAGTGGAACAGTTACTTCCCATAGCTGCATTCTTTACTCTGATTAATACATCCCAAAACAGCATTTGCCTTTTTAATCAGCTGCATCATCCTGTTGGGTGATACTGAAGTAGAGCTGATCCTAGAACATCCAGATCATTTTTGCAGGTATTATTACTGAACTAAGTTCCCTAACTATACCTGTGCTTTTCATTTTTTTCAAATGCAAGACTTTACATTTCTCAGTAAATGTATTAAAATTCATTCTGCTTGTTTAATCCATTACTCAACCCTGTGTAGATATTTTTGAATATTTTTCTGTGAAAATGTCAACTCTTCCTTATAATTTTCTGTCATCTGCAACTTTAATAATGATGCCTTCTATCTTTTTATCCAGATCATTAATAAAAGTGTTGAATAACAGAGGGCCCAGAACAGCCTGCTGGCATTCCACTCGGCAATATTCTCTGAGCTTTTATGGAACCATTTATGAGTATCCTCTGGCTGCAATCATTCATACAATTATGAATCCAATAACAGGTGGATCTTCTAGCCTGTATTTAATCATTTGGTTATTGAGGATATCTTGAAGGACTCTCAAATGCTTTGCTAAGGTCAGAGTATATTGTTCAAAGCATTTCCCCAGTCTGTTATAATTAAACTTACATTTAAAATGGAAAAATTGTCTTGGCTTATCTGAGAATATAGTGATGGAATCATATGTGATTCTCTTCTCTAATCATCCTTTTCATATTATAGACAACAATAAGGCAAGTGACTTTAATTTAATTATTTTGTGATGTAACTAAATGTTCCTAGCATTTATATTAATTTAGTATACAAATCTTAATAGGAAAATATGTTAAAATGGAGTGGAGTGGGCTGAGTATAATCATGCTGGCCTCCATCTCACAAGTGATTGCTGTGATTTTATCCGTTGTATATATTGTTATTGTTAACTGCACACTTTAGAAGTG